AGGGAAGAGAAAAGGGAATTACAGGTAAGGATGGGGAATGATTCTGATTTTCGGTTTAACCGACAATCGAACCATATAAATCGATTCAGTTGTAACTGAAACGTTTATCCAACTATCCGACACTACAAGAAAACAAACATTTAGCAGCTACACCTATATGCTACCATAAGTGATTTATTTGGCTCCATAGCGCAATAACGACATATAAATGTGTGATGTCAATACTACTATCGCTAATTTTCTTTAGAGGCAGATGTTAGCGACAAATACAATGTGCCGCTAAATAAGGAATCTGCGACAAACATTTTTGTTGCTAAATTCACTTTTGAATGACTATTTTATTGTCTTATTTTCCCTTTAGCATTTTCCCACTAATACTATACTTAGTGGCACGTTATTTTTTTTTTTTTTTTGCATAAGAGGCCTTTGGTTATAATTAGATTTTCTTTTAAATAATTAATAATTATATTAAATAATTAATCTCTACATGGTAATTACGAGGCATTTTTAATAGGAAAGTTTTGTCCCTGACAATATATGAAAACTGATGAATTGAAACTCCCCATAGCATTTTCCATTGAAAGTCCGGCACCAACAACCTGAACACCGGTGGAGCTCAAACTTGACCGAATACTACGACTTCATAGCCAGCTACTCTTAATTAGTTTGAATGTGATTATATAACAATAATTTTATTAAAGTCATCTTACTAATACTATATATGGAGGATTAGAGGAGGTTGGTATACGCGACAATATAAATGAACAACATTATTCCCCTCCATGAAAAGCGGCTAGTTGGAGTAAGTTAAGTGCTTAATTAAGCATAAGACATCGAACAAACAAACAGAGTAATTAGCTACCTAGCTAGCAATTAGGCCAATTCATTAATAAACTATTGCACTTCACAATTGAAAGAAAACAAATTGATGAAGACATCCTCAACAGAAATTAGCTTAGTTACGGTCAAAATCATCAATTGGACAGAATATGAAGCATATGTGAATTGCTCTTTGGAACGCGATTGAAGACACAGTTTGATGGTGGTTACGTAAATATAATACAATATATATTACGTTTGGACAATTTAAAAGTTACTGTTAATCCTAAGCAATTGGTCTGCTATTAATGTGAGGGTGAAAATATTTACCACATTCTGGGTTCGGACCTTGAAACTAATAAAAATTATGGAAAAAGCTACTAGTTGATGTATATCGCTAATCAATGTTGCTTATGTTGGGTGACGGTAGAGATGATATTACACATCTTCTACTTTATTGTCAACTTGCGAGATGGATTTGACATTACATCTTCTTCAGGTTTGGAATTATCTAGTTCATCTCCAAATTCATGCTCTCTAATGTTAGAAAGAACGATCATTTGTATCACGCAACGCTAATCTATAGCCATACTCTTTGCTTCCTTTCCACACACAATTTTTCCAAGGAATATGATTTCAATAAAATGCACGAACTTTCATAAATTCAAAATCTAGTATCTACTACATAATCACAATCATCTCACAAAATGTCAAAATCCTACATCTTTTCGGCCTCCATGAATGATCCCATCTCAACAATCACTTCACATTCACCATGGTTGCTGGGTTCCCAACTATCTGCCAGAAGAAAAGAAAAAAAAATCTGTCTATCCTACACTCTCCATTTCTGTTTCCCTTTGTAATTCTCTTCTTTTCTACTGCCCATTAATTTTTTACACATATTTTTTGTATCGTTGCAATAATGCACACCATGACAGGTTCTGAATTCTTTTTTTTTTTTTTTTGACGGTAGACAGGTTCTGAATTCTGATTGATTCTAGAAACGCAAATTTCCACCATCTTCCGCCATATTGTTGTCAATAAATGACTTTGGTTTCGGTGCTTTAAAATATGTGGGCGAGGAAGGGAGGGAGGCGGAATGGATTCGATATATTAAACATTATCATATCTGATTGAGAGAGCAATATTCTTTTAGGACACTACACTGAATTGTATTTGTATGGGCGTTTCTAATTTGAGGAAATCAAACTAACACATACGGCAGCAGAGTGGGCAGTTGTTGGTTGTGCTGAGCATTTGACGAACAATAGTGTCTCACATGTCTGTCGCTTTCGAATGCCACAATTTATTTTCTTGAATTATACATACATATATATATATGTATATATATATATATATATATTTCATTTTGTATTAAAAACAAGTTATATAACATTGTAAAAAAGAATGTCGATATTTAATTATTTTAAAAGAACATATAAAGAAAATACTTTATAAATGAATGAAAAATATACAAGAAAGAATAATTGAGTCTAAATATTTAGTTTAAAGTCAGAGTCTCAAAATTAAAAAATGTGTGAGGTAAATGTTGATAATTAATAGAATTCATAATAAAATGGACCCAAAACAAGTCTGAGTAACAACCGCCCAAACAAATTGAAACACCGGCGGCATATATAAAATCCGTTTGGAATTGGCGAATATATATTTCTAGTAACAACAACAACAACCAGTTACCAGCTTCTCCAGTTGGTAACTCGAATAAATATAGACACTCAAGAAAGCGACAGTACTGGCCATTCTTTGCATTTCTTATATACATATATACACACATAGGAAAAGGATAAAATATACAACAAACGGCGGAAACTTTTTTTCATAACAAAAAATGTTTGTAATATTTATATCAACTGATACGTTTTAGTAGGGTTATAATAGAGTTGGAGTTGAGTTTGGCCTAGTTTGGATTCAACAAGTTAAGTTTGAACTCGTTTATTGAGATTCTAATTCTTGTTTTGATTCGAGCACTTTACATTAATTAATTAGCTCACGATCTTTATTTGAATTCGCCTCATCAATTAGCTTACAAGTTCAACTCAACCTCAACAAATTTATCATTCTAAATCGTCAAACCTATAAACTAAACTTTAAATATCCTAATATTTATATGACATATTTAATGTATGTGATACATTTCATGATATTTTTCATTATTTAATAATCTCATATTTATATAATTTATTGATATCCTATTATTTAATTCTGGTGAAACTGGGAAATGAAATCTTAATGGAATCTGCTTCCTAATTCAGTTTTCCTACACCGAATTAGGAGTCATGTAGCAGGAATGTTTATCAGAGAAGTTGTAAAATTATTTTATTTTAATATTGTTAAGTAAATTATCTATTCTGTTAAGATTTGAAGGTGTTAGTTAAAAGTAGATACTATATGAAAATAATTGATAATAATGAGAAATTGAATATTCAACAGTTTATTTTATATTTGTACTTTGTTTAATATTTTATATTTATCATTAGTATGTTAAGCCTTTTTATTTTTTATAGGTTAGATCTGTTGTAATTTTGTAGCTTCTAACAATTAAATTTTTGTTGATAAACTATTAAATTTTTTTTAATCTCAGAGATCATGTAAAATGAGTAAAAATAATTTATAATATAAAATCAAATACATTTTTTATTTTTGGCATAATTTATATTATATAATTATTTTAGTTTATTTCAATTTTGAAATAATTCAAATAAAAGAAAAGAATTTTCTTTAGAAAAATAATTCAAAATCGTAAAATGATTTTTTTTTTCAAAATAGGTTTTTTTTTATGTGGAACACCCTCTCCGGTCACCACTTGAGTGATGCCGGAGTTGGGCCAAACCACGGGGTTGCCTACCAATTTTAAATGACCAAAGCCGGGGCACTCTACCTACAGGCAGTGGCGTAGCCCAAATTTCATTTAAGAGGTGCATTAAAAAAGATACCATAAAATAATTTTTGAACAATAACCCATTATGAAGTTTCATGTTTCATATTATGAAATTATTTTAAATCTACATAATTATTCAAATTATTAAGATTGCTCTGAATGTTATCTCACCATAAAATCATTCACAATTTCCTTTCACTCTATTAGACTGGTCAACTATTCCATTGCAGAACATATTCTACTAACATGTATATTGACAATAGGTAGTACGAAACTAAATTTAACTTGAGAAGGACAAAATATTCTATACATAATTTTCTCTTTTGTCTATCGTTATCAGAGAAAGTTAATGATTTTCTCAAATAATGCGCAAGTCATACACATCTTGATAAACTGCGTTATTGTAGGTATTAGTAGGTTAAATTAAATTATATAATTGATCATGGTTGGATGCTAAAAATTTACCAAGACATTTGGGATTCTTTGTTAATTATTGATATATTAATATTACTAATTTTTTATAGTTTCTCCAAATTAAAAAGATGCCATGGAACTCCCTTGTCGAGGGCTAGCTAGCTTTGCCATTGCCTCTGAGAACACCCAGAAGACGAAACAATAGCTCGAACTCGTGACTCCGTCATCACAAGCAGAACCCCGCTCCTACCAAAATAGGTTTTCGAAAATCACTATCTCGCGCGCACCCAAAAAAGCATAGATTCTCCCTCATCAATTACTATACACCGGCCAGGCAACATTTTTTCATCTTCTACAGCTCAAATGAAATCCTCGTTTCATTTCCATTACGTACTTCTCAATACCGCAAATTCATTTCTGTTGGAGTGTTTGTTTGGAACTCCCACAATACAACGTGTTATATGCAGCTCGAGAAAAGACCTGTCTATCATGGGTGGATCAGCACTCTCAATAAATGAGTAACCATTTCTCGTCCAAATCTCCTTTCTATCCCGTCACCAAACCGTCCCAGAAATAAAAAAGAAAAAAAAAAGGCCGCCAGTAATTCGCCCCACAATTTTTGCCGCCATTGAATCTTTACACAAAGCCCGGCCCGCACGTTCCGGGCCCACAACCGTCACCGCAAACATCCAAACCGGAAACAACAGCATCAGGCAAATTGACTGAAATGACCGTCTCACCCCCCGCCTTGACCCCTTCATTTCCCCCTCCTTATAAACGAAGCCTCGCTTTCATTTCCCCTCCACAGCCCACTCAACGCATTCGTCCGAAAACTTAAGCTACAAGTTCTCCCAAAATTCTCTCAAAAATGGCCAGAAGCGGCAGCAGCAGCAAGCTCACCAAACTCAAGTCGGTCCTCAAGAAGCTCAACTCCTTCAACGCCAAGCTCAGCCGAGGCGGGAGCTCGATCGCCGCCGCTTCCGTCGCCGACGACTCCAACTCCAACTCCACCTCCTCCTCCTACTCCGTCGGCGGCGCCGGGGACCTGCGGCCAGTCTACGTCGGGAAATCGCGGAGGCGGTACCTCCTGAGCCCCGACATTGTGGACCACCCGCTGTTCCGGGAGCTGGCGGAGCGCTCCGACTGCGGCGGCGACAACATAAGCGTGGGGTGCGAGGTCGTGCTGTTCGAGCATTTGCTCTGGATGCTCGAGAACGCTGATCCCCTGCCGGAGTCGGTCGACGAGCTCGCCGATTTCTACGCCTGCTGATTTATACACATCCGATCCCGTCCCGCTATTTTCGGTTTCATTAATTCGTTTTAGGAGAAAAGTGAAATTAATAAAAATCCATGATGCCGGCGTGCGCGGGAAACAGAAGGTGATCGAGGAGAGCGTGATCCGGTGCGGTCATCTCTATTTATGTACAGACGTGGCGGGGAAGAGCGGTAAATCGACGGTAATAAGTTGCGGTGGATTTGATCAGCTGGCCATCTAGAGAGAGAGAGATTGACAAAAAAGAAAAGGGAAAATAAAACCAACATTGAGGAAAGTAGATTAGAGAGAGAAGTTAGGGAGAGAGGGGAGGGATTTGTGCCGAACCGTGCGGATATTGCGGGTTAGAGCAGATCAATTACCAGCTAATCACTCTCTTTTCAGGTCAGGTCGGGTTGGGTCTAAATTTCCAGTCCGGCCCGGTCGGATGGAATTTGAGAACACACTTTGTAATGTATATTTGCATTCTTAATTAATCAAAGAAATTCAATATTACCTTTCGTGGTTTTAATGGGTTGTTTATTTAGTGATACAAACATGCTATTTTATCTATAGTTCTTCTATTTTCAGTCGTGACTATTGTTCTTGATTGATTAGCATCTCTTAACGGATAACTCTCATTGTATATTTTATCCTTCTTAAAATGCCTATGACATGCCTATGACAGACAGAAGTGCATCCAACATTAATGTTTATTTTATTTAACTTTTATGTTAATTATACTCAGTAAATCAACCATATCCTCTTCTAAGATCACGAATTCTTCATACATTCCGCACAAGTCAACAACTCATTTTGTAGTTTATTGACTTATCGTTCACTTCATTTGATGCTTCTTCTTTGACGAAAGTGAGTAAATAAGCATATGGGAAATGTAGTTAACGAGAGCAATTGAGACCAACACAAAAATGGGAACACTTATAAATTGGGTCATTCAAATTTCACCGTTAGTTATAAATTGTAACAAATAACACTGAACAAATGATACCGTTTAAAATATGTGTTGTACATACATCATTGTATCGATAACCTCAATTTTCATGCTTGCCCATCTGTAGATTGGAAAAGTATTCACAAGTATATTGTTAATATATAAGATCATGCAGTATTTTTTAGGTAGAGTAACTTCCTTTAACCCTTAATTATCAGGACGAGAGGGACGTCAGCAAACTAACCACTCCCTCCATATAGTGCTGTCCAATCTACCAATAGCGCAATGACTATATCCATTGAATAGGGTAATTGAAGCTTAAATAAAGACACTTTATCTGTATCGTTTTGTAATGACACTTATTTATTTATATTATTAAGACTTAAGAGCACCAGATAACAACAATCATGTTCATAATTAGATTTATATTATGCTAGCTGGGTCAACAAAAGAAAAATCTTCCGAGACAGAATTTTTAGGGTGGAACCGCAAATCTATTATTATTTAATTAAATTATTATAGGCAGAAAGCACGGATTTTATTTTGGCAGCAAATATTCCTTTCATTAATATATTATTTTTGTTTCGGCCCGGTCCATTTCTTCTTTAATTTAATTGAAGATTGGGGGGAGATTATTATTATTATTAACAGATAGATGTGGCTCGTCGATTTCTAATCATTAAGTTGTTAGGGATTCTGCTCTTCTTAATTCTGGAGAGAGGGCTCCTCTTAATTCTTCGGGTCACTTTAGCATATTATAAACACAGACACTTAAGACGCAAAACCTTTCTCACTGGGTTAGACACCCAAAAGAGAGACTTTTTGTATGAACAGTTGGATGAGTGGCAAACACGAAACTCATCTAATGATCATTTTTCTATTTCCTACCAACACCCTTTCTATTTCCTACCAACACCCTAACGCGGTTCCAAGCTGCCATTTGATTTGCCTTTAATTTGTCACCCCAAATTTGCTACTTTCAAATTGAAATACTTGTTTTTAATTTGGTGATGAATTCTATCATCTCGTACTAAACACGTATAAGTTCCAGGAAATTCCTACAATACATTGAAGTTATGGTAACTTGATGATTTTGACCTGCTATAACAGGTTTCCCAAGTCGCATTACGTAAAATACAATAGGCATTACGTAATGGTTACGTAATAGTTGAAAAATGTCATTACGGAAACCTTACGTAATAGGCACTCATTTTACGTAATGAATATTAATCTTTCGTTATGTAATCTGTTGAATCATTATGGAAGGCTTACGTAACACTTCTAATTTAACTGTTACGTAAGAAATAACTATCGTTACGTAACCTTTAGATGCATACTTTACGTAACAGTTGTAAAGTGGCATTACGGAAGCCTTACGTAATGGATGGTCATTTTACGTAATGATATTAATCAAGTTACGTAATGTGGTAAGTCATTACGGAAGTCTTACGTAACACTTCTAATTTAACTGTTATGTAAGAAATAACCATCGTTACGTAACCTTTACGTAATGAGCGTGTATTTTATGTAACAGTTTTAAAATGTCATTACGGAAGCCTTATGTAATAGACGATGCTTTTACGTACTGAATATTAATCTAGCGTTACGTAAAATGATAAGTCGTTACGGAAACCTTCCGTAACGCTTCTATTTTAACTGTTACGTAAGACTAACAAGCATTACATAATTGTTACGTAATAAACATTAGTTTTACGTAAGGCGACCTATAAAACCTGCTATAGCAGGTAAAAAACGTCAAGTTATAGTAACTTCAAGGCATGGTAGGGGCTCAAGTTAGGGTGCATAACCATAGGTTATGCACCCATCAATAACCAAATCTGGACCCTTCATTTAGAAAATCCAGATCTAAGGATAGAGAATTAAATGTCATTTTTATTTTCACTAGCTTTCTTAATTGACTCATATCTTTTTCGTTTTAACTTGGATTTTAATTTTTTTTGCACAGATGGAACGAGTTCATCGTGCTCTACAAAATGAGATCAATTTTCAATATTTTTTGAGGAAAAAAAAATTCTGGCCTCTCGGTACCAACTGCATACCATATGGTATCTTCTTCGTTTTTCATTCGTTTTTGAAAACGTTTGCACAGCAGGGACGAGTTCATCATGATCTATTGGATCTACAAATTTCTGGGTGAACAAATTACAAGACCAAAAAATACCACACAATACCATACAATACCACCCTGGTACGGGGTGGTATTTTATGGTATTTTATGGTATATAATGTTAAAAGTCGTAAATGACAATTAATATACTTCTACTATCATGTTTTCAACCATCCTACAGTTTAGGGGTGGGCATTCGGTCGGTTCGGTTTCGACCGAACCGAAATTATGAATACTGGGTCCCCGAATTCTCCCAAACCTCAAACCGAATTCGAACCGAATTATAATTCGGTTCGGTCGGTTTAAACCGAATTATAATTCGGTTCGGTTCGGTTTTTCACACAAAACCGAATTTGTTAAAAATACTTGTATCTTCTCACTTTTAAATTATTTTTACCCCTAATATAAACAATAAATATGTAATTATATGCATCATCAATGATAAAATGAAACTTTTCAACACATAAGTCATAAAACAATTCAAATATTTAAGTCTAAAAACAACTACAAACATAAAAATCCACCATTTGGAGCTTGCAATTATATTATTTCGGTTTTTCGGTCGGAAATTCGGTTCGGTTGAGAGAACCCTAGTTTCCGAACTATCCATATTTTCCTTCCGAATTCCGAACCGAATAGCATTAATTTGGTTTCGATCCTGTTTAATTCGGTTCGGTTCGGGTTTACCGAACCGGTTGCCCACCCCTACTACAGTTTTGGTTTGTGTCATACCACCATGGTACGCTTTTCAAACCATAGGTATGCTCTTATTTCAATACCAGTCAATACCATATGGTATAGACTGGTAAAAAATGGCTCAATTTTTTTTGTTAGAAAAATATATCAAAGTGGATATCATTTTGAAGAGCACAATTAATCTGATCTAACTGTGCAAAAAAAAAATTAAATTTCGACTTAAAACGAGTGAGAAATCGTGCGTCAAAGATTAAGGAGAGGAAAATTAAAGGCTTTCCAGGAGAGAGAGGATGCTGATGTCATGCTGATGTGAGCGGATTACTCATAGTTAGGGGTGGGCATTGGGTGGGTCGGGTGGATTTTGACCATAAAATGCACCCACCCGCGCTTAAACGGATTGATAATTTTTAACCCACCACCCACCCACATTTAGTCTCGGGTTGGGTCGGGCGGATGGTGGATGATGCGGGTGGGTTTGTGGGTTCACCCACATCACAATGTATATAATATAAAGGAGTCAACTTGACATGATAATAGGTGAAGAGAATTATCGAGGGAAACAAGAAGTTGAAATAGGACGAAAAATGTCGAATTAGTTCTTAAATTGGATAGAAATTCTATTATGAAAGAGTTTTCTACAGATTGAGACGATTATTAGGTGCAAGGAACTAAGGAAAATAATTCCACAAAGGAAAGAGCGGTGATCTAGGCACAAGAATTAGAGGAAAAAGTAAAGAGAAGAAGAGGGGATCTCTATTTGGAAGGTTGGCTTTGAGGTTCAAACTCCAGGAGTAGTCCGAATTTATATCTAACGTCTCCACTCTCCTCTCTCTAGCGCCAACGACTTTGATCTTTTTGCTGTTGGGTTGAGCGGGTCACCCGCACACTCACCCACCACCCAGCGGATGGCTCCCAGCGCAACCCGTCACCCACCCACAGATCCATCCACTTAACAAAATTCGGGTCAAATGCGGGTGGTCGGCCCAAACCCGCGGATGATCCGCCCGCATGCCGAGCCCTACTCATAGTTACTCACTATAAGGTTACTGACCTGATCCGTTCCCCATGATAGGAGGTTCCTAAGTTCCAAAACAATTACTATTAGCATAGATGTATATGAAAACAAAAGCGTATAAATTTTTATTTAAAAAACTCAGAATATCTTCGCTCCTCTTTGATACGTCCTCGCGCTTGAAGCAGTAGGAGAGGGAGCTTCAACACTAGTATTGCCTCATGAAATTC